ATATATGTTCTTAGCTTGTAGAAAAGTAGGAGATAATTATTCTGCCCGGACTTAGGTGGAAAAAGTTTTAAAGAAAGAACAGAGGATCCTGACACGGTATATAGCAACCAGTCAAGTGATCGAAGAGGGTATCTTTATGGTACAAAATCTAAAGCGAGTTTTGAATCCCTTTGTAATGACAAACAGTTGTTTTAGTGAGTCGCATTGGGTAGTACTTTGTACTCTTGGTGAGTTTTTATTAGACTAGAACATTTTGCTATAGAAATCAAAGGTACTTCAGCACTTATTGTATCACATAGTAGTTCAAATAAATAAAAACAAGATCGCTTAAAAAAAAAAAAAAAAAAATTAATTACTTATTTAATACTAATTATTATAATATATAATAAGTATTAAAATTAATTATGTCCCGGGTTACTGGCTTGTGACAATAATTAAATGAGGTACTTAACTCCCGTCCTAAGAATCTAGACTTCTGTAACACCATACTGATAGGGAGTACTATAAATGGAGCAGTAGTTTAATTTGGTGGTGTATGACATGAATACCTGAAACTATGCGAACAGCTCTCCTAATAGTGGCAGTAGATAGCTTGAGATATGGATCTTCGGATGGCGGCAGCACCTGGCTTGAGATACGGATTAGGAACTGAAGTAACATCTCGAGGAACACCAAACTGGAAGCATAAAGAGCACTCACTCCTAGGACACCAATTTGGAAGTTATACAAGAAACAAATTAGGAGTAATGTGATAAGTGTTAAGGGGTGAATTATAACTAGTAGACGTTGTATAGTAGTATATATAGCAAGGTATATATGAATTAGTAAATACATTAAGGTTCTGAGTTAGGTCAGAACTTAGGGTGCTTCTTGATAGAGGTACCCAAGGATTTCTATCTCATATGTGAGATGGTGCAGGTGGTTGCATCTGGGTGCCATATAGGGTAGTCGGGTGAGGTCATAACAACTACTTAAATAGGTTAAAAGTATATATAAATATATAGGAACTCCCACAGCAAAAAGATGCATTGGGCCAAAAATTTTGATTCTGTAATTTTATAAAAATTATATGCCAATTACTTTAATTCTTCGAGAAATTGCATTTTTTTTAAAAAAAATTTTTTTGGCCCAATGCCATTTTTTGCTATGGAGGTCCCCATATATAATGTTCACTTAAATAAGTAATAAAGTTAATGACAAAATCATCGAAGTTGGAAAAAAAAAAAAAAAAAATTAATTATTAATTTAATACTTGTTTTTAAAATATTTAATTAGTATTAAAATTAATTATTTATTTAATACTAATTAATATAAATACTTGTAAAGTATTTAAAACTAATATTTATTTTATATTATATTTTAATACTTAATAACTATTTATTTTAAATACAAATAAATACTTTTAGAATACTAAGTATTTAAAAAATATAATTTGTAAGCACTTATTCAATACTGCTATTAGTACAAGCTAAACAGTTTTTTAAGTTTGTGATGGAATTATATGATCGAATTATTTTTTCGAGTTTGATTTGAGTTATTAGAGTTAAAAATTAATCGTTGTATATACTTAATATAATTAAATTGCGAATTATAAAAGCATACTTTAATTCATAAATTTATAACAGCAAATATTATTGATTATAGCGATAAAAGCAAGTATCATATGATACAAATTACAAAGCATATACATAGCAAATTAATTATTAGTTGGAAATATTGTTTTGAACAAATTCATGTTTCTCTTTAGAAACAACATCTCGCCTACCAATTCCGGATCAAGGTTTGTGCGCTTTGTTGTGATGTTATTTCCAACATCAGAAAATAGCTATTCTGATAAGATGGAAGTTGCTGACATACATAAATATTTCTGAGCAAGTTTGGATAATATAGAAAATTGATTTTTTTAAGATTCCACCATTGGAAAGGATCTGTTTGTTTTCCTTCCTTTTCCAAAGACAAGTATTCATCGATTTTTATTGTCATCAATGTATAAATCTAATAAAATTGACTTTCATTTTTTTTGAACTCGATTAGCTTCCAGATCTTTGGTTTGAATATTAGATGAATATGCCGAATGGTTAGAAAAATTATAAACTTCACATTCTGATTCATATAAACTTTTCAACTGTTCATTTGTTTTTTGAATTACATTTGTATTTGCAAAACGTAGTTTTTTAAAGCATAGATCAAGCAAACATGCTAATATTCCTATATCTATAACAGATTGCCAGTACTTATATATACTATCGTAAAGTGCTTTTTTGACCTTTTCAACCATTCCAATTGTAACCATTGGCATTGATATATCAATTTTTTTATGAACAATTCCTAATGTTAGATCAACTTCTTTAATTTCAACAAAGTCCTTCGTATCATCTATAATCTCTTCCATAGAGTCAAAGATAGTTAACTCACTTATATCCGTTGAGACTGATTCAATATAAGATTGCTGAAGCAATCCTTTTAATGTTTTAACCAATGTTGATATTGCTAAGTACACTAAAGAAATTGTTACATAAGTATTTCCACTTAACAATCTTGTTATTTCTTCAAAGCCACATAAAATATTATTCAATTCATCTAAAAATAACCATTCATCATCAGTGAGCATAATACGTACTAATCGTCACCATCTTTTCGAACAAATACACTATCATCAGATTGAAGTCGTGAAGGAAGATATACTATTGCTCTTTTTAAATAAAGCAATCTTTCCTATACATAAAATGAAGAATTCCAACGTGTGGAAATATCACCAATTGTTGATAAGTATTTTTTGAAATTGAGGTCTTTTTGCGCAGTAAGAAGATATTCAGTTTGCTTCGGTGAATTATTAAAAAAATCAATCAATCTTTTTGCACGTAAGACTATATGTTTAATTACATTTAATACTTTTCCAACAGACAATTGAAGTACATAAGCTGTGCAAGGAATTCTATTAATTCTAACAATCGGGTAGCTTTTTTTATATTTAATCCACTGTCTGTTGTGATTGCTGCCATTTTATCAATTAAATTCTATTCAATCAAAGTATGATTTAACAACTTAGCAATGATTTCACCCGTATGGGGATACAAAACACGTTGTAAAATTAAAAGTGCTTCTTTAAGTTCCCAGGATTCAGAAATTCAAGCACATGTGATTCCAACATACCCATGGTGACAACGACTTGTCCAAAAGTCCATTATTATAGATACAGTAACACTATCATTTGCTATTATATTTGTTAATTGTTGTTTGCTCCACGAAAATGCTTTACTAACTGTAGTTTTTACAGTTTTATTACAGGGAATTGAAAAATTTAGATCAAGTGAATGTAGTAATTTTCGAAAACTTTTACATTCTACAATATTAAATGGCTGTGAGTCATCAATAATAAATGAAATTAAATTTTGGCAGATTAATTCATATTCATTTTCAGTTCTAAAGAATTGATTTTTAATAACTTTGCTAGGACGCAAGAACCATCTTTCAATATTCTATGCTTACGGGCAAGATAGTTAATTAAATTTGAAGTTGTTGAGCCATTATTATATGTTGCACCACATTTTTTTCCATCGTCCAATACAATTTGACAAGTTGCAGTCACACCATTATCATCTTTTTGAAAATAGTTCCAGACGAAACTTTTAGGTTAACTTTTGAACTTATATGTGGTAGTGCTTTGACTAATTTCTTCATAGTAAGATTCTTCTTGTTCACTGTCACTTTCGTTTTGTGCTATATTTGTATGATGAATTATTTTTAAAATATAAAGATTTATTTGAAGGTCGCAATTGCAATATTTATTTCTTAATTAATATAAACATGTAATTATAAACTTCACAAAATTACATATTAATTATGTCATTAATACAAACATGCAACTATAAACTTCATAAAATTACAGTTTAATTATGTAATTATTACAAATTTTATTAATGCAAATTTTAATCAGTTTACATTTCATAAAGAATTTAATTACGTAATTTATTAATTGTAATTAACTCGCGAGTTACTCGCGAGTTAAAATTTTATGATTCGAAGAGTGATAAATTCGAATTACTCGAGTCATGAGTTGACGAGTCCAGTTACTAGACCCGTGCAATAAATTAAGTCATGTATTAACAGTTTAATCAGTATCTAACAGTATATCATCGTGATGACAAGTCTATTCGGAGCTTATCAGTTTTAACATTTTAATTAGCCGTACCAAAAGTGTGATTTAATTATGCATGAAATTGTGTAGATGACGTTGAGGCACGTCTTGAATGTGTGCCAGGTTGGTGGCGCAGTTAGCCTATATCCGATTTTGGTCAAAATTCTGAACAACAGATTATCGAAAGAACATAACACCGACTAAATTGGCCAGGATTATAGCTAGTGCCGACTAACTTTGTCGGTATTATGTTCTTTCGGGGATCCGTTTTTCGTGATTTTGATCCAAATTTCATTGAACCTAGGTGCCGTACAAAAAATGCGCAGTAGATCCTCGATTATGATTGGCTAAGAGTGACAATTAAAAAATTAGGCCGAAGTTACTCATAATTTTACTAATGAAATCGCTACCGCCTATTAAGTGAAAATTGTTCTTGGGCAAATTTTACTATAATGCGGGCTTATTTTTTAAAAAATTCTATTTTTGTAATGAAAAAATTAAAAAGTTAAACCCAGCCGGAATTTAGTATACAATTATGTAATGCGGGCCAAAATTTTGAAGATCCTTGGCCATTAGCCAGTCAAAATCGAGGATCTACCACGCATTTTTTGTAGGGTTAATGTAGGAATGCAGAATTTCACAATTCTGACCTGCATTAGCAGTAAAACTACTATAATGTGGGCCTATGCAGGCTATACAGTAGATTCAAAAAAATATTCGATTTGCTCATCCTAATAATATGTATTTTATTTTTAATAAAATTTTATACAAACTTAACTTATTTAACTTCTAAGATATACAGTATATAACAGGGCCTCTGAATACTGCATGGGCATCCACTTATTTGCGCCGGTAATACAAAGGAGATGGCCAGTCAGAGGGGACGTCTAAAGCGGAGATTATAACTTTTTCGATTAACTTTTAGGGTTAGAGGCATCCTATATTAGGGTTAGGTTTAGTTTTTAGGTAGTTATATATAAGCAAAATTGCCTTCCCGACACTTTTGATTAACCTAACCGAAGTAGGTTTTATTTTTCAGGTTTTTTGTTTTTATTTCTTGTTTTGCTTCACCGGCGATCATCAAAATTCTGTGATTTGATTGGCCGAAGATCATATGACTTGCCTCTGCTCCCTTTTTTGGTTCGTGTTACCGGCACAAATAAGTAAATCATACTGGATGGTACTACGTATTAATTAAACCTCCGCGACCAAGGACCATTTCCATACAGACTAAATTTATAAACTCGTACATCATACGTTAGTTTTATGCAAAATTGTACATTAAACATTTTTTATTAGCATATGATTTCAGTACACTGAACTTTATATAAAAAAAGAATTTTTTCAAGGCACTATAAATCTAGATTCCAATGCTATTCTGGAATTTTTTTTTATTAAGGTTTAGCATCTATAACTCTAGATTCTATCCAAATGATTTCTTCTATTGATTTTTTATATAGTCACAATTGAATTACTAACAATGTTACATATCAGCCTAAAAAAAAATGAAGTTGTTTTACTTTCATTAGTCCAAATAAAAAATCAATGTCAGTCCATACTAGTTGAAACTATATTAATGGGTTGCCAAATATGCTAAATGTATACTGGTTTTTGTCAGCATTCTGTTGGTATTTTGCCAATTTTCAACCGGGCAACTAACCGAATATTAACAGAACTTGCAAAATGCCTGCAGAATACTTATAGAATGCCGACAATTGCCAGTATATATTCAGCACATTCAGCAGCCAATTAATATAGTTCCAACTAGTGCGAACTAATACTGATTTTTTTCATTTGGACTAGTGAATTCTGTACGTAGAGGTAAATTTATATCACAAATCTGTACATGATAGTAAAACTTATTATAAATCTGTACGTAGATGTAAAAACTAGTTAACTGAATTCTGTACTTGGAGCTTTTGGCCAAATTTCTATTCTGTACACTAATAACTGTCGAACTTTCTCTTAAAATTGATACTTCCGAACAACGAGGTTCTAATCAGTATATTCAGGGGCCCTTATATAACTACCTTGTATTGGATATTGATGCCGTGATCTAGAAACATGAATTTATATGACTTAGTGCGATTGATTCCTAATCGTTTTTATATTTGGTCAGGATTGCAATAAATTAAATTACAACCTTGTGTTCTTATAATAACATTCTTCAAAACAAGCGGTAAAATTTAAATATTTAATTATTAAAAATGCTTACAATATTGTATTTTAACAAAACAAAAGAATGAACTTATAAAATTTTTCTAAAATTTATTAATTTTAAACTAATTTTGCCTAAATTTTTTGTTATTATCAGAAAAAATTTTGAGTTTTTAAAACTAAAATTTTACTGGTAGGACCGGTCGTTAGGACCAAGACCGGGCCTGGACCAGGACGGGCATAAATCCATATAATCAGGATTATTTAGGGCCTAATTCTGGTAAATAAGCATGATGTCCAGTTTTCTTAGCAGCCTTCAAATAATAAATTACTGTATTAATTTATATAACTCATAAGAATTTAGCTTCTGATTCGGGTAACCGTTTAACCGATAACCCGACCCGAAAAACTTTCAACCGGATCATGTTTTTGACAAATCGATTTACAGCCGCCTTCATAAAATTGACCGTTAGGTTTTGATTCGCCAGTGACAAACTTTTGATTTGGGGATGATTAGTACAGTATATGAGTGCTGCCAAAAGAAAATGTCCCTTCGAACTTTAAAGTATATTATTTTATAATATACTTGAAAAGTCCGAAGGGACATTTTCCCTTTACAGCACTCATATACAGTATAAATATATATGTTTTTAATACATAGCGGTAGTATTCTTAAAATTAAGTTTTTGCTTGATGCATATCAAGTATGTTTTGTGCGTTTGGTCTTTACGAAAATTCATTGTTCCTGTCCTGCCAACCAACAGAACTTAACAAAAATAGAAAAAAAGTTTCGAATATAAGATTTTATAAAAATATATTATACGGAGCAGGCGCTAATAAAAAAAAAAGGTTAATATGACTAGGAATTATTGACTGGATTAAAAAACATATAACGCAAGTTACAATTCCAAACAATCAGGATTTATTGTCGTTATTGTCGGGGATGATGCTGAAATTTGGTGACTCTTTAAAAATATATATCCCATGGCCCCTAATGTTCTCCCGTGAACATTCCTGATGATATTTTTATGGTTACGTAATGCAGTGAAATATTCCATGGCCATAACGTAATCAGTAAAAATATTAATCAGAAATACTTCGGGCATAGGAACCGTGGGATATAAAAGATATTTCACGTGTGTCATGAATACAATGTATTATCACGACTCCGCCGTGATAATCCACAACAGCCCGTGAAATATCTATTACAAATCCTACTAACACTCACCTATACTCTTTAAATTATAGATCCTAACCTTAAATCCTAATCCAACCATAATAATAATAAAAAATAAAAACTTGAAAAAATACTCCAAAAAATTTTATTATTCACATTAAAATAAGTTCAAATTTCAACATCATCCCCATATTTATTAATATTGGTCGAAACTGCAATGAGAATTATAAACGTATATATTATGTTATTTAAAAGTTTTAGTATAAGTTATGATAATAAAATATAGGTCAAAAAAAATACAAAAAAAAAACAGCATGAATATGATGAAAATACTGAAACGGTCGATCTAAAAACTAAGAACTTTTAAATAGTAAACATTTCAAAAACGCCTAATTTGTCTGGAATAAGTTCGGTTGAGTCTGAAAACTTGTATGAAACGACAGCAACTGTATCTAATATAATTTTCAGCTCAATAAAAATTAATAACAAAAGAATTTTTTATTCACTAAAGTTTTAAAATATTTTATATCATCCAAACTAATAAACTGTTCTCTTAAAAGTGTAAGTTTTTCAACACATCCATATCTTCGAAAATAGTAATGTAATGATGTTACTAAAACTATTTGGAAGGCCCAAACTACGTGATGAATAGTATCACATTAGACATTTAATGCCTTATTGTCATTTCCAAAACCGTGTGATACGTACTATTCATCGCATAGTTAGGACATCCGAAATAGTTTGGGATAACATCTGCCGTTAGATGATGTTGTATATGTACGTACGTACGTACGTATGTACTGTACATACTGTAAATAGCGCTTCAGCTCTCTTCACCGACGCTCCTTTCGTAGACACGCCACTTCACCGAAATCGTCTCACTGACATGTTTAATTCA